GTGGGTCTGTATTACACCTAATTTTCCTTTCCTTTCTGTAACAGCGGCCCTCGTGCTCTATACCTTGGACGTTAGCTAATTCTCTGGCTATAGAGCAGGACCAGCTGTAACCTTTCTTAATGCAGCTATCCTAAACCCCTTTCACCTCATTTCCTTTGATTTCCTGTCCCTCACCTCCCTCAATCAATCTATTACACATTTACATTTGAATCACAACAACACACAACCCACTGAAGACAGAAGACAAACTGACCAAAAAGTGGTGGGTGGAGGACATGCTTCCCGACGGGGAATTTCTCAGAGACAACTGCAGCTGCATGGACCACAGAGACACAGCATCTGATGCCATCTGCTCCACTTGATCACGTCTCTCCTGGCACCATATGGCTTGCACATGAACTCCTAACCACCCAAGTGGAAGAAGGGGCCTAAGCCTTGTAGAATCAAGAGCCACAAACCTTGTAAAATCAAGGCTGCTCTTCCCAAGCTACACCCCCCAGACTCAAGCCTTCTTGCCCTAGATGCAGACTCAGGTGAGCATCAAGATGGGGAATTCCTGAACATGCCACAGTTGTCTTCTGCCCCTCCTCCCCTCCTCCCCCGTCTCCATCTCCTCACTGCTAGAGATTTATCATCCCCCCCAATCTGTGGGTTCTGTTACCCTTTGATTAAACCTTTCTATTTGCATAAGTGTTTTATTTTCACAAGTTCCAGTCACCTAATTGTCCTTCACTACTGTGTTTCCTTTAGTACATTTAATGTGTTGAGGTCTCTCCTATTTCTGTGTTATTGAGTGTTTTGGGTTTTGTTTTGTTTTGAATCAGACATGGGTGTTAGACATAATCAAATGCTTTTCTACACTTATTTATATGATCATATGGTTCTTATTTTTTGTCCTGTTTATGTGGTTGGTTACATTAGTACTTTTTCTAATGTTAAAGCACCCTTGCATCCCTGGTAATAGTCCCACTAAGTCAATGTGAAATATGAACTCAGTCAGTGATAGGTGCCCTCTAATTCTATCCCATTGCCACACTGAAGATAAACTGTTGGGATGTTTGATCTAATCACTCTCCTAAAGCAATTAGAGTTATAGAATCATCACATTTGTTGTTAAAATACCAGTATTATATATGCTCTTTTAGAGAGTATTTTATAAATAATTTATAATTGTACCCCATATTCTCTGTAGTCATAAAATTCTGCTCTAAAGTTTCTTATGCAAATCTACAGTTTTTCAATTTTTTTCATTACTATTCATTCAAATTGCAGGTATATATTTAAAAACAATGATTATATTTATTTTCCAAAAGATTGTGGAATGATTATTACTTTACTACTTATTAAAAAAAACTAACATTTCAGTACTTATTGCACACAGAGTCAGTGTACAAGAGAGGTTGTTGTTGTTAGGTATCATTAAGTGAGTTCCAAATCATAGTGACCCTATGTACCACAAGGAGAAACACTGGCGGTCCGACACCATCCTCACAATTGTTCTTCTATTTGAACTTGTTGTTTCAGCCTTTGTCAATCTAAAAAGTTTTCCTCTTGTTTGCTGCCCCTCTACCAAGCACCGTGGTTGAAGTGATGTAACTAATGTATTTGCCGCAGGTTTGCAAATACACAAACACTAAGGTTTTACTTATATGGAATAAGAGGATGCATTTAAAAGAAAAACAATTAAGTCAGAGCTGTCATGCGAATTATGACTCATAAAACCATAGAGAGCAGAGTAAAAACTCCATAGGCTTTTGTTTTTTACATTTTATAGAACCTAATGTTTCATCTTCACCACACAGGTAGTGTTCTTATAAACAATAGTGCAAAACTGGACAGGTGATGTGGTGCTTTTTCAGTCTCAGACATGGATACGTGCCACATGGAAGTTAAACAGTGTACTTGAGTATCCAAAAGATGAAGAAAACACTCAGTTTATTTTGTATAAAGTTAAAATTGGGTTGATAGGGTAGAAGTATATTGTTAATTGTTTAATGTGGCTCTGAGCACAGCTGTGATTCTGGTTGTAAGATAATGATATCCTGACTCACTACCAACGTGACTGAGGCGTTACCCTTTATGATGTGGATGTTCAGTGTCACATGGGTAGGTTGATGCCTTTAGCTCAGGCAGTGCTGTGTTTGTGGTATGTAACTCTGGACATACATCTGATAATAATCTGAACCGTTTGTCAGGATGAGAATCTGGTTTGGCCCAGGGACAAGGGAACAACAAGCGATCCAAATTGGTGGGGAGGTGGGTGTGGGAGACCTGGTAGGGCAGGATCAAGGGGAACGTAACAAAGAGG